GAAAACTGCCGTTAATTCAACTGGTAAAAGATATGTGCTTGAGACGGAGGCGCGTCAGCACAGCCCGGCCCAAGCCAGAATCCGAATGGGCGCTAGAGGCCAGGGCCCATGTGGACCCGACGCCGGAAATAGGGGACAGCGCGGAATTGACGAGGGCTGAGGAGAGCACAGCCAAGAGCGGATGAAAGAAACAAAACCCTAATAATAAGAACTGGAGAGAGATGGGCCAAGGGCAGCAGCTCCCTCAAACTCCCTCTGTTCTCTAGGTAGGGCCGCAGGACCCAGAGCCACCACTGCGGGGAGGGGCGGGGGGGATGTCACATACCGCATCTGAACCTGAATTCCAGTCCCGGCTCTGTCCACCCATTGGCCTCCCGAGTTTGAGCAGATGACCTGGGCTTATTAGGCATCTTTCCTCCACACCCAGGCTGAGGTTACACATTCCTCCCCATCTCTTCACCCAGCCAGGCCCCCTCTGCAGAGTGTCAGACAGGGAGGGCATGCTGGGTGTAACTCAGCCTGCGCGTCTGTCTTACTGACTGAGTAACCTGGCTCTGTGGGCTTCCAGTGCCTGACTCTTCTCTTCCTGTGAAATGGGAATAAATGCTCGGATGGTGGCTGCTGTGAAAACAGGCTGGCAGATCTTAAAACAGGATGGCTGTAGTGTTCCTGTGGAGCTCGGCTCGAGCTCGGATCCCCAGACAAGTTCTCCAGAAACTAACCCCAAGTAACTGCGATCCCCAGCCTTTCCACCAGCCTTCCAGAGAGCTAAGCTGAAGCTACCAATATGAATGAAGACTAGGACCGGGCAGGGAGCTGTCCCTAGCTTGGTGCTGAACAGGGAGCAGAGGCGACACTGGTCGTACGCTGGTGCAGTAGCCTAGGGTGGGACCCTTTGTATGAGAGGTCCCCAGGGGCTCTGCCTCCTGGCTGCGGGGACTGACTATAGGCCACTCCCGGAGGCGTTATTAACCCTGGCAGTACAATAAGGCAAAACAGGCAGGCCCCCTCGGGAGGGGGACTTTTCGTCCTCTCCTTACTACTCCACCACCCTGGGGGCGCCGGACTTCTCGATCGTTTTCACACCATACCGAATTCTGAGGTTGCTTTTAAAAAATCATTAGGATTCTAAGAATAATTACCGAGTGGAATTGTAATTATGGGATGAGGGAGCCTGAGCTGAGGGAGGGGAGATGAGCAGGGTGGGAATGCCGAGGGTAGCCCCTTGTACTAGGACTGAAAACAGGATGAGAGCTCAGAATTAGAGTGGGACAGAGGCAGCACCTGGGAGAGCCAAAAAAAGAGGGCCTGAGCAGGCTCCCGGCTGAAGAAAGTGAGAGGCGGAGAGAAAGCAAGAGAGATAAAAACTGATGGAGGGGAAAGTGAGACCTCCATCTAGAAGAAACGGCGGAGCCTTCAAACTTGCTTGGGAGGCTTCAGAGAACAGGCTGGGCACCTGACCCAGGCCTGGCACCTCCTTTCTCCGAGGGCAAGGCCTGAGCCATCTAATTGTGCTCCAGGGTCCTTTCGGGCGGTCTCCTAGAGTCAGAGAGAAAACAGGAAAGGAGCAAGTGAGAAGTGGAAGAGAACCGGAGTGAACCCACGGGAACTGAAACACAGGAGAAAAGAGGACCCATAACCCAGAGCCAGAAGGGAAACAAGAGGGCGGGGGTGGGGGGGCGACCCCGCCCCCCAACCCGCGGAAGATTTATGGAGTCGCTCAGGTTCCTCTGCCCCCGCCTGGTGGCCTCTGTGGCCTCTCCGCCCCCTGCCCCGGCGGCCCGCCGCGCCCCGGGCCATCCTTGCCATTATTAACTTCTGTTTGATTAGGGTAATTGTTCAAAGTTGGGTTGGACAGTATGATTAATTACAGTTTAATTAACGTGTCCATTAAGGACACTTAATGCCACGGGGGCAGGAAGAGGAGGTGAAAATAGCCAAGTGGGCCCCCGGAAAACAGGCGAAGGGTGTGCTACTAGTAACTCATAGATTAAGATTTAAAAAGACCCGATGTAAAGAAATAAATGAGAGAGAGAGACAGAGAGAAAGAGAGAGAGAGAGAGAGAGAGAGAGAGAGAGAGAGAGAGAGAGAAAAGAAGAAGGATGTGGAGGAGGAGAGGAGAAAAATGGAGCGCTTTGGGGTATAGAGAGAGTACCAAGGGGTGGTGTCCCGTGTGTCCAGAAAACGGACTTCTCACTACTAGGAAACAGCAACTACGACCCTGTAGTTGACCTCACGCCTCCCCCAATTATGACTGCACTCTTGCTTTAGGCCTGTTAGAGACGATGGGAGATGCTGGGGTTGAAGCACAAACCCAGTTCCCCAGTCCCCTGACCAGTGAAGAAAGGAGGATGACTTTCTGTACAGTGCATTCCAGCCTGGTCCCATAGTCCGGAGCGGTGGGGAGCTGCACTGGCCTCTTGCCGGCTGCGCTCCCCAGTGCTCAGTGCCCTAGCCCATTCTTGACCGCAACGCCTGCTCTCCAGGGCCATTCACAGTTGCACTGTCCCTGCAGCGGAAGAATGATGCGACCCTCCCCACTCCCTTTTCTTTTGAGTCAACCCCAATTCCGACACTCTGCCCCGGCCTGCCCCGCTTGCGATCCTTTGCTAGCAAGGGCGAGCTTCGGACCCTCAGCACTTGGTTTTGGGGGAGGGGAGCCAACTTTCGGGTTCCCCGGCCCTTCCTCCCACTCGACC